ATTACATTACATTGCATTACATTACATTACATTACATTACATTACATACATACATACATACACACACACATACATACATACATACATACATACATACATACATTACATTACATTACATACATACATACATACACACACATATACATTTATATATATACGTGTATATGTAACATGAGGCAGGGTCGAAATTACTGACTTGCGGCCGCTAGTTAAATGTATTTCCAGTATACAAAGGCTAAGATATACAAGCCAAGAAGAAGAGGAGGAAGGGAGGGAAGGCGTACAGTAAGGGTGAAGAAAGGAAGGAAAGGAATGAAGGAGGGAGGAAGGGAGGGAAGGAGTAAGGAAAGCAAGGAAAGAGAAATGAGGGGAGAAAAAAAGGGAGGGAGGGGAGGGGAGGGGAGGGGAAGCTGCGTTGCCAGAGCAGGGCGCAGGATTTATAAACTCCCGGTATATTATCAGGTGGTGTCCACTTCTGTTGGAAGCCTTCACTCCTTGTGTTTTGTTTTTTCCCTTTGCTTTTTCGTTTTATTTGGTTCCGTTATTTTTTCTTTGTTTTATTCTTTTTCTTGGGGGGGGGGGGGGATGGGCACACCTCAAGTAATCTGCCAGGTTGAGACAAATCCGGGGTCAACATTACGGCTCGCACCCCAGCCTCGAACATGCTCGAGGGCGGGTAGAGCGTCATGGCTCGCCGAAGAGGTGGCGGTTCAGCCCGGCCGAGCCGAACGAGTTCTGCTTGACCAAAACACAAGGGCCACAAGAACTCGGTTGCTTTCTGCTCCCCTGCTAGAAGGCTAACTGTTGGTGGTTTAATACGGAAATTAGTTGGCAAAGAGTTAAAGTCCTATCATTCAAGCAACATGCACCAAAGAGAAGATAAACCCTCATCCCCTTTGCCAGAAAAAGGTTGGGTCTCAAAACCAGAAAGCAAATCCTGAAAGGTCTCAAAAAGTTGGGGCTGTCTAAAGTTGGAATCTTCACAATGGCGTAGTTTCCTTGTGCTTCCCGCTGAACGAACCTTTCTGGTGCTGAGTAGCGAATGACCCAGGGTGTTGGGAATGAACCGTTTGGGGATTCCCTTAAAGGAAACCACAAGGGATGGGTTGTGGAGGTCATTCCGTTTCGAATTCCCTGCTGAGAACCAGCAAGAAACAGGGTTCCACGAAGAACGCAAAGGTACAGAAAGAAGGGGAAACCAGCAGGTCGCGCCGTTGGACCGAGCAAATAAATCTAGTGCACGCCTTGTTCAGGCTTCAAGCTGCAAGCGCTTTGTCTCGCACGAAATCGGAGCCTCCAACAGCTACTGGGAACAAGAAAACCGGCGGTCGTCCAACTATCATATTGGCTTCGCTGACAGGGCCGCCCATTTTGGGGAGGCAGGTTCCACACTCCGCGGAGCCAACAAGAAAGCGCCCAATAGGGCCTAGGGATAACACTTTCCGGAGACCATTGGGAGGCTTCTGACAACCACAGGCAAATGGGGCTCCTTGTGCAAGGTGGTCCTTTTCGATATGTCACCGAGATGTGTTTAATAGAATCCAGACGCTTTCTCAAAGTAGCCTCAAAAACAAAGCAGTCCTGGCCCGTGGTGTGTCCTTTGTGCTACCTTTAAATGGACCACCCCAACACGAAGGCTCAACTTGGAGGGCTGGCCCTACTATTTTCCTTCATATGGATGGAAACCGCACTTCGAGCCGTTCGATCCGCTCGTGAACCTGGAGAGACTCCCGGACCTTAGAAGTTTGGTGGAAAGACAACCCCAAATAGAAATCTGTCCTCTTATTGGATATGCCTGGCATACTGCTTGTCTTCAAATCGACCAGATTCAAGCCATACCGCGTCTGGTTTGGTCGAAGAAGCCCTCTGCCAAAAGCGGAAAACTTCCAGTTAGCGGTTGCAGACACTCAGTTTCCACACATCCCAGGGAACCTGAGCCTATGGGTCAGCCCACCCCTACCAAAGCCAAACAGCGGGGTTGCAGGCAAGAACATGCGCCTATCATGCGCCTATCATGCGCCTATCATGCGTCTTCCTCTCACACGTCGTGATCAAAGTCCTAGACTGTCAGAAGCTTGACTTGACGGCCATGTTGGTGACGTGAAACAACGCCTGGCCCTGTGCCATGTAGGGAAATCAAGAGCAAAAGCGCGGCAACTCTGCTATCCGGATCGTAGGTGGATGAATAGTATAGCTTCTTTTTTTTTTTATCTGTAGGCGTTCAAAGGGCCCACACCCACACGATTATAGATTGGTAACTTGTGTCCAAAGTTATAGACTTGACGTAAGGATATGTTGCTGGGCTATCTGTTTCAGATTTCCTGCGAAAAGTCTAACTTTTAGTGGGTTGAATGGAAACACGCCACTCAACCTACAAACTAAAAACCTAAGAGGAAGGCTGGGAATCACCAAGGTTGGTCATTTCCCCAGCAAGCATTCAACCTGAACCGGTGTTCGATAGCGGGAGCTTTCAGCACTCCTTTCCATCCCCACTCCCGATTGTGGTTGTGTCACTAAAGCGTGGAATATTTACCAGTCTTGAGCCTTTCCCGCAAAATCAACACAGCAGCGCTGGTCATTAGAACAATTGTTGAACCGCTTCGAGGTTGGGTTTTTCTGACCTGAGGGGGTGTAGGCCCCTAATCAAAGCACAGCCCTTTGGGAGTGCTCTCTGGTTTGTTATGGGCACACGTCCCAATCATTTTGGGGTGCGCCCAGGTGGGCATGCCGTGCCTGCGGAGGGACGCCGATTTGGTGTCCCGCTACGGTAGGCTCCTATCGCCAGGCGGCCGAGATCCCTACAGACTCCACAGAAACTGATCGCACCCACGCGGCAAAGCAATTGTGTCAGCCGGATCCACCAATCCTAGCTAACTCTGGCATCAGAGCATGGTCAAGCAAACGCGCCGCGGTTCAGTCCTCCTCTGGGGGTAGGAACTCCTGGCAGAGTGTGTGTGTTTCTGGGCCAGGTAGCATTTAAGGCACAGGGACAACAAAGGGAAAGCCACCAGATCTTGGGAGAGCCCCATGTACACCGCCAACTACCATGGACCTCTAAGGGAGGCTCTGGGGAGCCCAGTCAATCGATATGGCGTCTGTCCTAGGCTTATTCAGGGATACCTCCCCGCCTTAGCCCACCCCTTTGGAGGTCCACTTAGCCTCGGTAAACGGGATGGATGAGATGGCCGCGGCTACAGCGCTTGGCAAGGACTGCTGTTACTTGGGGCTTGGAGGGGGTCCGCAAGGCAGACCCACAAGGCCACAAGTGTTGCCAGTGCTAAGTTTGGGCTTGTATTGATCTACTAATTGCTGCTTGCATTTGATCTCAAAATCGGCTGTGAAACCAGTTGGAGCTCTAAGAGTGGCAGTCAGTTGCTGCGGATCAGCCTACATTGATGACCCCTTCACGGGAAATCCAGGTTCGACCCTGCAAAGCCCGAAAAATGTCAAAGAATGAGGACCTGTGGGGGCAAAGCTGGTGCAAGGTTCCAACAAAACAGTGAAAAAAAAGGGAGTGCCTTGGGGAGGGGGCCTTGAATTCCCTGTGAATTGGCATAAAAATTGCGAAAAAGCCCTGGTTACAAGTGTCTTGCAGGGAAGAAATCCGACATTCCGCACTTGGAAGGGATCAACAAGCCTTCTAATGGCCAAATGAGCACAACAAAAAAGCTAACAGTGGTTGGGGGGATCTCTTGGGAGAGGGGTAGTTTCCGGTGGTCAAGTAGGCCCGACTCGCGACTGCGCCTGGCTGATGGGCGCGGGGGGTTTGCACCTGGAACTGAAAGCTGAGCCGAACTCAACTGCAGGGCTACGGGTGGGGTTCTTTTCGTAGGGGACCCCCAAAAGAGTGGTGTTCCTTTTAATCATCCTTTGAAACCACCAATACAAGGTCCCTGAAAGACTGACACACCCATATGCAGAAAATGGTACCTGGAGGTAAGGGAGCAAACTTCTGTCTGACTTGCTATGGATGCACGAAGTCACTAAGGTGGGACAAAATTAGTCTTTCTTGAAGGAACGGCTGGTTGTATGCATAGCTGGTTCTGACAGTTGGTCAAGGGCGCCCTAAAGATTGCAGGGAAACAAGCGGAAGTCCTGCAACTTACAATATGCAGCGTCATTGGAAACAAATACTTGGATGTTCACCGACCTGCATGGCCAGGCAGGTTTTGTTTTTGACTTTTGGGGCTAAGTCCATAAACCCCTAAGGCAACTTTGTACGGAGTCAAGCAGTGGACCCCCGGTTTCATGAAGATCCGGGAGGATTTTTGGCTCTGCTCCAAGGGGAAAGGGGTCTGGGTGGTTGAACTTGTACTCATTCCTACTTGGAAGCTCACACGAGCTTCCTATTTGGGTGTGGCTCAAATTGATGTACCAAAATGGCACCTTGGTAAATGGAGCCAAAGACTAAAACCTGCGTAACCCTAACTCTTCAATTTTCAGCCACACCCTTCTTCCCTAATGCTTCGTCCCCTTGTTTGCTTCCCTTGTGCAAAGGAGCCCTCCACTGATCAAGGCACGGTGGCGTGGGCGAGCAGGCAGACATTGGCTAGGCGAGCTTACGCAAGCCCTACGCGCCTGGGCCTGCTTACATGCCCTGGATTCCTTAGTTTTGCTGATTTTGCGGTATGATGCGGTGCGACAACCCTCGTGTTTTGCAAATTCAACGGCTAAGCCCTTGGCATTCAACCGCTGCAAGCAGCGAATCAGAGCTTACGCGGGCGCTTCCCCGCGTCATGTTTCGGGACCCAAGCCCATGACAGAACTTTTCCTTGGAATGCAACGGGTGGCTTCTTAGAGCTGCTGACATCGGGTTTCATCACTGGTGACAAGCTTCAGTACCTAGGTCCTCCAGTAGAGAGATTAGAATAAGGGTACCCTTTTTTTCTGTAGTCTATTTTAGAAGGGGAACCTCCCCCAAAAAAGGTAAAAGTGCACTACTGCGGGACCTAGGTACCCTCCCAAACCACATCCAAGGTTCAAACCATCCTTTGTTCTGGCTGCTCAAGGCTGCTCCCCTCTTCTCCAAACACTCGCCATCCCTTGGCCACTCACTTCCACATGACCAATATCACCCATAACTCAACTTCCCCCAATGGGGGGGTTGGATTTCGCGGTTTGGACGTTCGGGGCGACCTTCCCCATTTCCTCATTTGGCTTCAAAAGGAACTGGGCATCAAACCCCAAGCCACTAATCCAAGCCGCAAATTGATGAAGGGTTACCTGAAATAACCACAGCATACCAATTCGGGGGAAGCTGAAATCACCGCAGCCTCCCTTCCAAAGACATCTTCCGCCAGGCTGCGGGGCGGCGGACTGGCGTGAGTGCGCCAGAGCCGTGGCCCTTCCTCGGAACCCCATGAGGGTGGCTCGTCTTTGAGGTTGGATGCCCCAAAATGGCGCAACGGGTTTGCCTGTTGGCTTCCCTTTAAAGCAAACGATTAGGGTACCCACACCAAAAGAAGGTAGACCCATCTTGGCCAACTTCCAAGAGGCTGTTTTAGATATAGCCAACAAGGAAAATTAAAATGGGTACGTCTTAAACTAGGGACCCAAAAATTGGTTGGCTTCCTCTTTTATTCCCGTTTTACAACCCCTTTGGAGGGGGTATCCCCAAAAAGAAATGCACACCCCAATGTCGGTGTCTCTGACTGCAAAGCCCAAATACTTTGCCACGGTTCAGCTTACGTTCTCGGCTTTTGGAGCCCCAAGCGATCGCAGGATCCCAACTCCCCTGGGCTGTCTTGGGGGCCTGTAGGATGAACCGTTCAACCTGGTCCTTTATTCAAAAGCGTAAGGCTCCCCTTGAGCCAAGCCCAACATCAGGTAGGTCCGACTTGGGTTCATCTTCGTTTCACCCTGAAGGTCGGAACCATAGGCGCAAGTGGTTGACAGACCCCACAAGTGCCATCATACGTATGCACAACTGCCATTCATGTCCAGCCGCCTGCAACGAGTGTATCCTATCACATATTGCTATGATGTTGCGCCCTCCAAAAAAAAGAGCACCGCACCTCAAAGGCTTTGGCTGCCTTTCCACCACCCAAAAATTGGTTGGTGAAAGAAGGCATCTAAGAGTGTGGATCTGATGGGGGCTGGGGGGGAGGGAGGGGGGGGGAGCCCAAATAAGGGCTTATTTGGGCTCCCTCCCCCCTTCCCTCCCCCCCCCCCAGCCCCCATGAGGATCTGTATCTTGGCGTCCCCCTTCATTTCGAGCCCCAAATGTTCAGCGTCAACAGGCAGGCCATCGGTCCAAGTTCCGCGGAATAAGTCGATCAAACAACGGGAAACTCACCCGTCAGGCTTCACCAAGGAACTTCCCTCAAAGCAACAACGACATTTCCACCCCACCTTCAAAAAGCTCAATTTCCCCACCGTCAAGAATAAGCAACAACAAACTCAACTTCCCCCTAATAAAAACATAGTTTGCCGCCGCGCCATCCCCCTTCCCACCCGCAACAAAACAGATGCACACAAACATAATTCCTAACCCAAACAATGAACACACCAACACCCAAACACCCAAACACACACACACACACAACGAGGCGCCATACATACAATCCCCCAAACCAAAAGAACTTACCCCCCCCCCCACCCCCCCCAAGGAAAGAAATAAAACAAACATCACGCAAAAGTAAATGAACAAAAAAACAAATAACTAAATCAACGAAATACTACAAACAACAGAAACAAATACAAATAAGTGAACAAGACTAAATAAATACATGAACAAATGGCTGTGGGTCAAAACCAATGGTACCATTTTGGGGTAGGTGCACCACCCATTTTAGTCTATTTTAGTGGGGATTGGGATGTTCACTAAGGGTACGATTTGGATTTGACCCATGACCAAAGAAGTTAACCATTACTTGCTTTCTGCTCCCCTGCTCAAAGTTTAACTTTTAGTGGTGTAATGGAAACCCCCTTAGTTGGCAAAAAGTTGAAGCCGTAACATCCAAGCAAAATGCACCAAAGATTAAGTCCGCAAATTTCAACTCCGCGTTCCCTCCCTCGAGCTGGGCCCCAGGCTGCCGCCCGTCCGTGCTCCCACGGCTAGGCTGCCCTGGCGACACGTGGCCGGGCGGGCGGGCGGACAAGACATGGAGGGGGAAAGCCCGAGGTCCATGAAAGCTCGTTGTGTGTTGCATTTTTTCTGTTTGGGGGGGGGGGGGGTAATTTTTTTGGCGGGGGGGACCCAATTTTCGGAACACCAAAGGAAAAGGAAAGCCAATTTCGATTGTAGAGGAAAACCGGTTCTTGTTCTTGGGGGGGTACCAAAAAGAAAGGCTGAAATCCGCCACTAAGCGTTGGATTTTACGTGTAACCCATGGAAATGGAATGGGGACACTTCTGCCTACCGCCCAGGTGTAGCAATGAATAACTTCTATAGCCAATGTTTTTGTTTAAGTGAAAACCAGTTGCTCAATGACCCTAGTGAAAGGGCAACCCTTTCTTGTGACCACCATTCTGAAGAAGGGGATCAGCGTACCTGCCACT